TTTCCTCCCACAGTCCAGGGATGTGCAGGTTAGGTGGATTGGCCATGCTAAATTGCCCGTAGTGTCTGGGGATGCCTAGGTTAGGTGGGTTAGCCATGGGAAATGCAGGGTTACAGGGATACAGTAGGTGGGGGAGTCTGGGTGGGATGTTCATTGGAGAGTCGGTGTGGACTTGTTGGGCCAAATGGCCCATTTCCACACTGGAGGGATTCTATTAGGGCAGTCCCTAATCTGTGCAGACAACAATCCCATAAAGATCAGGATAATCAAGACTAAGATAATGGATATCCCACCAGCTTGGTGTTGTTGTACGCTGAATACTAGTACTGGTGTAAAGAAGCACAAGAAGTTGAAAGTCCAAAATCCTTCTAAACTCTGGCCATTTGCCTCTCCTTCCCAACATTCATTGCCTTTCATTGAATTACTTCATTCAAACTCAGTAATCCCTTCCTCTTTATTCATTGACTTCTGCCTGTTACTTTGATCATCAATCACTGCAAGAAATCCTGCCTTATTTAGATATGAGCCACTAAACAGAGTTTTAAAAATCTTCATCAGGTCAACCAATGCTTTAGTACAATGGTGTAGTTTCACACATCCCACCATGTGTCAGGCATCCAGCCGCCCACCTTAAAGAGGGTAAAAAAAACCTACCTGCTTCATGCACATAGCCTCAACCTGTTTTTTTTCACTCATTTGTAGGATGTGGCCATCATTGGTTGACCAGTATTTCTTGCCCATCCCAAGTTGCCCTTGAGAAGGTGGTGGTGAGCTGCCTTCTTGGACTGCTACAGTCCACCTGCTGTGGGTTGACACACAATGCTATTAGGGAGGGAATTCCAGGATTTTGACCCAGCGACAGTGAAGGAACGGTGATATATTTTCAAGTCAGAATGGTGAGTGGCTTGGAGGGGAACTTGAAGGTGGTGGTGTTCCCATGTATCTGCTGCCCTTGTCCTTCTACATGGATGCAGTCGTGAGTTTGGAAGGTGCTGTCTGAGGATCTTTGGTGAATTTCTGCAGTGCATCTCGTAGATAGTACACACTGCTGCTACTGAGCATCAGTGGTGAAGGCAGTTGATGTTTGGTGGATGTGGTGCCAATCAAGCGGGCTGCCTTGTCCTGGATGGTGTCAAGCTTCTTGAGTGTTGTTGGGGCTGCACCCAGCCAGGAAAGTGGGGAATATTCCATCACAGTCCTGACTTGTGTCTTGTAGATGATGGACAGTCTTTGGGAAGTCAGGAGGTGAGTTACTCATAGCAGTATTCCTAGCTTCTGGCCTGCTCTTGTAGCCACTATGTTAATGTGGTGAGTCCAGTTGAGTTTCTGGTCAATGGTAACCCCCAGTATGTTGATAGTGGGGGATTCAGTGATGGTAACACCATTGAATGTCAATGGGCTGCGATTAGATTGTCTATTTTTGGTGATGGTCATAGCCTGGCATGTGGGACACAAATGTTACTTGCAACCTGTCAGCCCATGCCTGGATATTGTCCAGATCTTGTTGCATTTGAACACGGACTGCTTCAGTGCCTAAGGAGTCATGAACGGTGCTGAACACTGTGCAATCATCCCCACTTCTGACCTTATGATGGAGGGAAGGTCATTGATAAAGCAGTTGAAGATGGTTGGGCCTAGGACACCACCCTGAGGAACTCCTGCAGACCATGGAGCTGAGATGACTAACCTTCAACGACCATGAACATCTTCTGCTGTGCCAGGTATGACTCCAACTAGCAGACAGCTTGCCCCCTGATACCCATTGATTCCAGTTTTGCCGAGGCTCCTTGATGCCACACTCAGTTGAATGCAGACTTGATGTCAAGGGCTGTCACTCTCACCTCATCTCAGGAATTCAGCTCTTTTGTCCATGTTTGAACCAAGGCTGTAATAAATGCTGAGTGGCCCTGGCAGAACCCAAACTGGACATCACTGAGTCAGGAGCACAATAGGCCAGTGAACACAAGTCCAGCTTTTCCATTGATAGGATGGTTGTAGAACCTGCAGATATTTGGAGTCTGGGTTATCACCTGCTCCTGGGTGGTCACCAGCCCATTTGAATCAAATGCAAATGTTTGCTGTTCACAGAACAGATGGATATAATTCATGCCATTGAGCAGGCTGCTCAGTCAGGCTAGCAATGTGATGTTTACATCAATAGCCATTCGGTATCTTCAATCACTTGAATTTAAAATCATGACTTGTAAACAGTTAAAATTGAGCGCACTGCGCTAAAAATGGGATAGATTCCATGATACCAACAGTACTGACAGTATCAGATCAATTTAAAATAGTTCTGCAATATTAAAGGGGAATTTGATCTGTTAATTGGTACGCCCACTGCATTCTTGAATACCACACATCTGAAGCCAAATCTGAGCTGCCAGCTCCTGCCTTCTCTTACCCAAAACTGGCTACTGTCCCACAAAGACATTGTTCAGACTGCAAGATGTAGGAGTTTAGAAAGGTGATTTGTTGCATGCTATTAACAATGAAGCACTGACAATTTCTTGCAAGTTCAACTGAGCTACTTCAAAAATGAATAAAAGTTTGAAGATGGGCAGCATTCTTATTCCTATGGGCCTAAGGTTCAAGCTAATTTCAATTCTCAAATAGAGTCATAGAGTTACACAGCATGGAAACAGACCCTTCGCTCCAACTTGACCATGCTGACCAGATATTCTAAACTGATCTAGTCCCATTTGCCAGCATTTGGCCCATGTCCCTCTAAACCCTTCCTATTCATGTACCCATCCAGATGCGTTTTTCATGTTATAATTGTACCCACCTCCGCCACTTCCTCTGGCAGCTCGTTCCATCCATGCACCACCCTCTGTGTTGAAAAAGTTACCCTTCAGGTCCCTTTTAAATCTTGCCCCTCTCACCTTAAACCTATGCCCCTGGCTTTGGTCTCCCCTACTCCCTAGGAAAAAGATCTTGGCTATTCATCCTATCCACGCCCCTCATAATTTTATAAACCTCTATAAGATCACCCCTCAGCCTCCGACGTTCCAGGGAGTAAAGCCCCAGCCTATTCAGCACCCCCCTCAGCCTACAATCTATGCAACATCCTTGTAAATCTTTTCTGAACCTTCAAGTTTAACAATATCTTTCTCACAGCAGGGACACCAAAACTGAAAGCAGTATTCCAAAAGTGGCCTCACCAATGTTTTGTACAAACACAACATGACTTCCCAACTCCTACAATCAATGCACCAATGAAGGCAAGCATGCCAAATGCCTTCTTCACTACTCTGCCTACCTGCAACTCCACTTACAAGGAAATATGCCCCTGCACCCCATGGTATCTTTGTTTGGCAACACTCCCCCGCCAGGTCCTACCATTAGCTGTATAAGTCTGTACAGTTGCAATGTTAAAAAGACATTTGGATAAGTACATGAGTAAGAAAGGCCAAGTGCAGGCAGGTGGGACTTGTTTAGTTCAGGAATATAGTCGGCATGGACTGGTTAGACCAAATGGTCTGTTTCCGCTGTGTATGACTCTCTGACTCTAAGCCCTGCCCTGATTTTCCTTACCAAAATGAAACACCTCACATTTACCTCAATTAAACTCCATACATAGTGTTAATGAAACTACCAATTATGAAAACTTGAAGTAAGTTTTTAAACATTCTTTTGTGGTTTATCACAATTGCAAATTATAGTTTAAATGCTCCTCAGTCTTGTTATAAAGCTCAACTCTCCCACAAACAACAAACAGCCTGTCATCCCAATGAAACTTAAGGTTGACCACAAGTAACTCAAAAATTTAAATCCTGAAATCTTTGGAATGAATTTTAACATATATTGGCAAATCGTCATTTCACAGATGACTTCTTTCTACGAAACCTGGTGAGTTTTTTCACATTATCGTCCCAATCTCTCCTCATCAACTACCTACAATGTCCCTTTGGCACCCCTCTTGTCTGACACTAGCCCAATTCTTCTGGGTACCACAGCCAGAAGGACTTGCCACTTCAGGATATCCTGGGATCACTGGTGCTGGCACCACCTTTAAATCTGACATTGTGCATTGTCAGGAGGAAGTTGGTGAGCTGGAGTTACCAGCTACCTGCTCTGACTTGCATGTCGGGAATTCTCAGAATCTAGGTTCAATCTAGTGGGTGGTAAAGGAGACGAGTATTTCTGAGTGAGCCAAGATTAAGTAATAATGAGGGTGATAGCGAGCAATAATCCCAAATAATAGGCCAAGAGCAAGTAAAACACTGCTTCATGGCTTTCACCGAATATCAGCTGTAAAATGATCGATGTAGCTTTAAACTAATGCAGGGGACAATTGAACTCATCTAGCGTAAAAGTCACACCAATAATAAATTCATCCAAACTTCCAGTAGTTGCATTTATTTTGATTTGCTGGTGACCATTGTAGAGATTGTTCTTTCCCATTTGTTTTACTATAATGAGCTGCCAGAGGAAGTGGTGGAGGCTGGTACAATTACAATATTTAAAAAGCATCTGGATGGGTACATGAATAGTAAGGATTTAACAGAGATATGCTGGCAAATGGGACTAGATTAATTTAGGTTATCTGTTTGGCATGAATGAATTGGGCCAAAGGGTCTGTTTCTGTGCTGTACATCTCTATGATTCTGTTCTCCTTCCCTTGTCTCCTGTAAGTGGCAACATCTTGCCAGGAGGGTGTTCAATGGACATTGAGCATCCCTTAATACCTTAAGCATAAGCCTTGTCCAATTCTGGTCAGTTATTTCGGCTGGCGTGTCCCAGTCTTCACCTAATGTCCTGTGCTGCTAAATTATTTGTTAGGATTGGGAACGTTGTTTGACATTCCTCTCCCTCACCAATAGTGCTGAAGGTCACTCTGATCACTGCACTGGCTCAACCTGGCCCAAAGATTCAAACTACAGCCTTTAAGTGGATAGGTTTTGGCAATTTCACAGCGATATGTACCGTGACCAGCAATTCCAACACACCCCCTACAACCCTGACTGCTGACCTGAGCTTTGGAAGAAAAGACTTACATCAGAAAAGTCCTGATGGAAATCATCTGCTCGTTTCTGATAAGCAGTAAAATTCAATGTGTGAATCAGGCAGATAATAAACGCTGGTTGGTGAACCTTGGAATCACTCTGAAATAGTGAAGAGGATCCCTACAAGACTGTGAGTATAAACAGGGGAGATATAAAACCTCATAGCCACACAAGTGCTGAACACTTAAACACAACTCTTGCTAGATGCACAACAATCTAACGCTGCGGATGCTGGAAATCTGAAATAAAAACAGAAAATGCTACAGAAGCTATGAAACCTGGCAACATCTGTGGACAGGGAGTTAACATTTTGCATTCAATATGATTCCTCTTCAGAACTAAGTAGGTTCTACACAGTTATGCTGAGGTTCTCCAACACTCCGTCTCTGTTAGTTCCTCCTCAATACAATGCACTGTGCCTCAGCTGAGGGGCTCAAGATATTCTGTCACCCTGTAACTGATTACTAGTGGCTGCATAAAAGTGTCACAACTTTATTTTCTTTTTTGTTTATCTGTCTTTCTCTCTCTTAAGGAATTTCACACTTCTCCTTCAAACTGCCTGCTTATTCCTTAATTATCATCAGAGGCTCACTTCAGGGTGAAAGCACCAATATGCCTGTTCCTGGCACTTACCAGAGCGAATATTAGAAATTGAAGGAGTCCCAATCCAAAACTTGTACTCCAGTCATTTTAGTGGATGGAGATGCAGGGGCTAAAGTATATAATATTACAGCACACATCAGGAGCAGAGATATCAGAATAAGAATTTTAAAATACTGTATTGTTATAGCACCTTCCATGGTCTAAGGATGTCCCAAAGTTTTGCAGCCTATGAGTTAAAGTGCAACCACAGTAATCCAGCACTCACACACAACAATGAAATAATTGAGTAATTATTATGTATTCAGTAAAGGGACACAAGTTGGTCAGGACAAGTTCAAATAATGGCAGGGAGCTTTTACAGTCATCCCAATGAGGCCTCTGTGCTTTAATGTTCATCTGAAAGATATTTGGAGTCACTGTCAGTATTGGCAGGAGACAGACACTCCAGGTAGCAGGTTCACGACCTGTTACACATGTCCTGCCTGATTTTCCTTCTTATGAATGTTGGTGTGTAATGGATTCACCTGATTGAAGACTCTCACCAGCTTTCCAATTCTACCAAAAGTGAAGCTTACCCTATAAGCACAACGTGGCACTCCTTCAGTACCAGCCAAGCTGACGTGCTCTACTCCTTGAAGTGTGGTTTCAGGAGACATTGCTATCAACTGAGCCAAATGAGACAATGTGGTTGATAAAGAGATCTTGGAATTTTTTTTTGAATAACTGTACATGATAATCGACTGGTGTAATAGTTAAACAGCTTGGCCCAGACAGCTTTCATCAACATGTTGGGAGTCCCAGATGGTAGCGGGACACTTAAAGCTGCCAACATTATGTGAAAGGAATTTCATCAGTTCCCAGCCAGCCTGCTAAATGAAGTGCACCACTTTAGGGAACAGACTGGCACCCCATCTGTCCCACAGTGAGTTTCCTATCAGCAGAGTTTCACAGCTGCATTTCTGTTAAAAGTTGAAGGAAGTTTGTAGCTGATGCATCCAGCCTTTGGGCATAGGGAAATCCGCAGAGAGGCATTTCATCATCTTCTGTCGATCTATTAACTCCAAACAGCACAGGTTGGTTAGCTGAGCAGAGTTTCTCATGGTGGTAAGTTAAAGGTGGGGAAATGTTAATGAAAACTGTGATTATGAAATCTGTGTTTAGCTGGAGTCATTTGCAGGCTGGCTAAACCAATACCAAAACCAAAAGAATCAAACTGCTTCGTGAATGATCTGCAGAGAAGGGAACTTTTTTATAACGGAGCTTTCATTGACCCTAGACTTATTCACTGACTTGATCTGATTGACTAATTATCTGATGCCTAGCACTTGATAGAATTCATTATTTATAAATGACTTCCAGGTCTTCAACAGATAAAAGTTAAAATTCTAAAAGAATACCTGGTTATAATTACACAATATTAACACAATACCTTTAAAAGGTCAATCTCATTGATGCAGTCTTGTCTTGCTTTAGCATCCATCATTTCGAACACCTTAAAAAGACAAACACAAAGAAGAAATCTGGTTTTATAAAAATAAGTAGCGTTCAGGCATCATAGCTGTGCAGCTACAGTAGTACAATAAGCTGCTTGTTGGAGCTGGCGAATTCAATTATATTTCCCAGCAGCTGGCAGTTCAGAGATTGCGAGGCTGGTAGGAACATCACAAGTTTCTTGGAGGCAATCTTCCTGCAGCAAGTCTGGGGGACGGGATTACAGGCAGTCCCTAATGTCCAAAGATCCTCCTCAGGGGAGATTCCCCTTCATCTTTCAGGATCTACTATCACTGGCCATCCTAAATTGTCATTTCCAAATACCTGACCAAGGACACTGACATTTTGCCACGTCCCACCTGTCTCAGCAGTGCCCATTTCTTCCAGTGTTGCCCTGGGGGTTCAGAGTGTCATGGCTCTCTGCTTGGGTAGACAATTTCAGGAGCCTGTCTACCTTCCGGAATTGGCCCATGGTCTCACAGACACCAGTTTAGGAGGTGGGCATTGGTAAAGTTACTGAGCTGGTCCCATTGCCAGTAAGTGTGGGCATAGGGCTGGCTTTCTGCCTGGATCAGGACACTGAGGACCACGGGAAAATTCAGCCCCTGTTTCTTTTGCTATTGTGATGTAATCGATGCAACACATGACATTGCTGTGATATTAAACACAGTAATATTAAACCTGCAATTTGGAAATCTTGTTGTGGCATCAACCACACAGGCTCCCACAGAGTTGCTGTTGTCAGCGCGGAGAGAATCTGGATATAATGTGAACAAACATTTCAAATGAGTTTTCCTGGTTGTACTGGCCAGTGGTTATTGACTGGTGAGATGCAGGTATAAACTTCAGGCAGGGTGTAATGGAAATATTACTTCCTGTGCCCCTCATCAAGAGTCAGTACCACTCCCCTGTGAGCTTTGCTGACCAACCAAGTAATACGACAGTGATAACTATTTCAGTGTGATTTTTCTTTACGATTAAAGTTTCAATTCAAGCAAAGTGCTCTGCTGATTGCACATCAGGAGAAAGAGAGATATCTGTGTGAGAGTTTCGGTTTTCTCAAGCTTCTTAAGTATACCCAGATTTCCTGAATAGGAGTCATGTGATGCAATGGCAAATCAATTTCTGAAAACGATATTGTTACCCCAAGAAGAAATTGCCCTTTCACATTAAATTGACCTTGGCTATTGCTTTCCCCCAGTGTAAGTTTAAAGGTACTTTTTAATACAGTAAGCTACTGTTACGAGTGAAATGTTCCAATGCTTTTGGCAAATTCTCTTACCTGGACTTTTTTTAGTGCAACTGCTTTTCCATTGTGAAGACAAGTTGCTCGATACACTTCGCTGAACTGTCCCCGGCCTATTTTCTTCTCGATTTGGAAATCTGCCAGTCGGCTGTGGTAGGTATACGTTGGGATATGCCTCTGTTCAAAAGGACAAAGCAAGTTCTCAGCACAATTTGTTTCACCAACAAAGTAACTAGTTAAGGGCCCTTATGAATCAACATTCTCAAATTCTCATTTATTCTTTGTAGTTTGTGAATCATTTCAGAAATCTACAAATCCAAGCTCTAGATTTAAGCTCCACAAATGGAAGTATTTAACCATCGAAATCATTAACCATCAAAATAATTTGGGAGTACACTGCTGATTGTGGAACCAAACCATATCTCAAAGAGAGATCCCAGGTTTGATGGCACTGTGCTTAATAAGTTCATTCCTATTAACTGAATGCAGGAAAAGGAAACTGCAACTAACTGTCCAAATATGCACATGGACTTTATTGTGGGTGCTATTGAATAATACTTGGCCCATTAAATTCATAACAGACTCAAGAGCAGATTTGGGCCACGTAGGAGAAATAGGAACGATGAGGGTAGAAGATTGCGTGCAAGTTGAATGGATGTCATAATTAAACAGAAAATGTCACAATGAAGTGACAAAAGATGTTTAGAATGTCTCAGAATGCAGCCCAGTCAATCTCCAGCCTTTGCAAATCTGAAAGGCCAGGGGATTGTGAGGAAGGAAAGGCTATGTACTGATGAAGGAGAGAGCAGTTGAACATATGGCTCTTGTCTGGTGGTTGCTGGAAGTGGAAGCTGCTTACAAAGATCTTTCATTTATGGCATTCCAGAGCAGCACACCTATAACTCCACATGTCTGCATAGTCATCACTGGCTGTGCCAGCTCAAAGTTGCCTGTTAGTAGCACATGTAAATGCAGATGATAATCCTGCATCTGGACTCTCTGCTGATCCAGACACCATGAAGACCACATCCATCACCATTGTCAGATAATGACATTTTGCAGGTGAGGCCAAGCAAGAATTGCTGCCTTATTTCAAAACATAGCAAGCTCTGATCTGCACTGTCAGATCAGTGCCTCCACATAAACCAGCATGAGGTTTGTTCACTTCTGTTTGTAGAAAGGGGCATGCAGGTGCCCACAGATGGACACACAGTCTCTCTTCTGCAGTTTCCTTTTGATGAGCCTCTGCTTCTTCCAGATAAGCAAGGTCCATTGGGAAATTCCTTGCCATGAAGCTGGTTTAGTTAAAAGAAAATAATTGGCACAGATACTCATAAATCGCAAGCATCAGCAAAACAGGCTAGAAATGGATTAAAGCCTTTGTGAATTAATGCCTTTTGGTCCATTAACCTTTCTTCTACATATTGCTCAGAACGCAGCAACCTGAGGCAGACATTTAGATGAAGGACTATTCGATGTGATCTACACCCAGTGTAAGGGCCAGAAAATGCCATGTTGATGCCAACAGCACAGCTTTGATTCCCAAACTGGCATGAAAGTCCCAGGTTTTTGACCTTGTCCCTTGCCTGAGATGTGGTGCCTCTCAGGTTAAACCACCACCAGCCATGTCTCACTAACGACAAAGCAGCCCTCTGGGCCTTTAGCAATTTTACCTTTATTGAATGCATATTGTTACTGTTTAAAGAAGAGATGCTTTGTCTGTTTCATTGTTCAAAATGTGTTATTATTGTAAAAGGCATACAAAATGGCATATATGGGTCAAGAAGATTGGTCCCACTGTCTTAAGTAGGTTCGACGGGTCCGTTTCTGATGTGAGGACCCTCACCCAGTGTGAAAATTGGGCACATGATTTTCTGCCACAAATGTGTACATTCAGGGGCAACGCTCCTTTTTGAAAGAGCAAAAGTCAGAACTTGCTTCTCGCAATTTGGTTTTAAACAGTTGACGATTTAACTGGCACACAATCTCCCACAGGAGCTGAAAGGAGAATTCGGAGCACGTTTCAAATCCAGATTCTGAAATTTGACATGATGGCTAATTTTACACAGGGAAATGTTGAAGGACGTCTTGTGAATTTATTCTTAACCATGTACAGAGAAAAACAAAATTCCATGGAGACTCATCAGCTAGAGTTTGGAATGAAAAACAACGCCACACTTCCGATACCAAAATTCATTTCATGGTATTCATAAGTCATTGTGGAGACTTCCACTCAGAATGCTTGCAGATGTTCAGCAAGTACCTTACAGCCATGAAACTGATACAACTCTCACAGCACGATCAGTAAGGTACTGGACAAACAGCATTTAGAACAAGCAATCATGCACACAGCTAGAATGGTTCATTTTCTGTCAATCACTTGAGACTGTGGTTTAAAAGTTCATCTGCCCTGTATTTTTGGTCAGTTTGTAACCTGTCTGTTCTAGTTTCATTGGAGGTGATATAAGTCAATGGATCCCACAGATGAGGTGGTGTTTAGAAAGGCTATGACCCTGGTTGGGTGCTGTTCAAAATATGCTGCTGTGAAAGCTGTGTCTGTTGGAAACCTCAAATAATAGTAATATTTGATGTGCTCCATAAACAATGTTAGTTATTGTTGTGGATTGTGTTAATCATAAATATAATTCATACAATAAACATGACAATTGTAGTTACAGTACAGTAATATACTTTACTGTACACATGAGAATTTCAAACCTCAGCAGTTTCATCTTCTAGCTGTAATGTGGCTCAGTAATAAATGAAATAACCATGCTATCACCTTAAAAGCAGACTCCTGTGATTTGGAAACCTCATGTGTACTATAAAATAGGCTAGCCCCACAAACAGATTCGCGTCTAACTATCTAAATGAAATATTGTTGGATTTCTACTGATAATTTCATAAGGTTGGCATTTATTAATCACAGGCTGACCATTACAATAACTTTGTATTGGATTTTGTACCCCAAAGTCTTTAGCTGCTGTGTAACGTGACAATTTATATTTTTATTTCCATCACGTCTCAGTTCAGGGCAGCATAAATGCCAGTGACTCGAGCATATTATTGAGTGACTGAATGGCAGGTTGCTGGTCAACCCAGAGGATAAATGTTGTTCACAGAACATCTCACACATTTTGATAGTGAAGCACGTCAGAAGTAGAAAATCATAGGAGCAGGCATCGGACATTCTGCCCATCAAGTCTACCCCACCATTCTAGATCATGGTGATCATCCCCCCCAATGCCACTTTCCCAGATTATCTTCATATCCCTCATTGCCATTAGTCTCCAGAAATCTATCAATTTCTGTCTTGAACCTACTCAATGACAGAACCTTCACAGCCCTCTGAGGAACAGAATTCCATAGATTCACCACCCTTTGAATGAAGAAATTCATCCTCAACTCAGTCTTGAATGGCCTGCCCCTTATCCTGAAATGTCCCTTGTTCTCGAGACTCGAGCTAGGGAAAACATTCTAACCATATCCATTCTGTAACACCTTGTAAGAATTTTTGTAGATTTCAATGTGGTCACCCTTCATTTGTCAAAACTCTTGGGAACACAGACCCAGTCTTGACAATCTCTCGTTTTAAGACAATCCCATAATCCTATGTTGCACAGTCTATGGCAAGTACATCCTTCCTTAGATAAGGCAACCAAAATTGCGCACAATACTCCAGATGAGGTTTCACCAGGGGCTCTATGCAGCAAGACATCCTTATATCTGTGCTCAAATTCCCTTGCAAGGAAAGCCAACATTTCATTTACCTTCCTAACTGCTTCCTCTAAGTGCACGCTGGCTTTTCGCAACTCTTGGACAAGGATCCCTTTGAACACCTGACCTTTCCAACCTCTCACCATTTAAAAAAAACTGTTTTTGCATTAAATGAATAACCCAATAATTATTCAAATTATACTCCCAATTTCTGTGTTATAGCCTATTCACTCAGCCTGTCCAAGTCCTCTTTAAGCCTCCTTACATTCTCCTCCCAACTTACATTCCCATTCAGTTTAGAATCATCAGTAACTTGGCAATAGCATAATCGGTCCCCACATCCAAATTGTTTATAATTATGTCTTAGACAGAGCACTTATTGTAATGGCGCCCACTAGTAACAGTGGAGAGAAGTAGAAGAGTTCAGGGTCTGGGGCAGATCAGTCATGATCTTGTTAAATGGTGGGGCCAGCTTGAGGAGCCAAATGGCCAGCTGCTGCTCTTATTACTTATGTTCTGTAAGTCCTCAGACCACTTATAACTGCGAAGTATGATTCAATGGGTGTTGCTATCCTCCCCTTCTGATCCAAGCAGCAGTACGTGGGATCTGCAGTGGGATACGTCACTTATATATCTTTGATGGGTGCTCATGCACTTATGATTGTTTGGGGCAATGACAGGTTGGGTCTGGGGCACTTGGCTTGCTACTGAAAGCCTTTTATAGTCATTATGTTTCTTTGTATCAGGGTGCAATGTTTTAAAAAATGCAAAGTCAACAGTAGGGTTTCTACCTGGATCGCAGGAGGACAGAGCTTTTCAGAAATAGGGGAGAACTCAGTTATCCACCAACCTCATTCTCTGTGCCATTGTGAGGTTCCATATACCACAGGCCCCCTTAATAATACTTGTTGCCTGTTCTTTTGGACATTGAGCTTGTGTGCCTGATCCTTTAGGCTCTTCTTGCACCTACTTTACCCCACCTCTCCTCTAAGTGTCAGGGTCCAAGGAAGTTTGGAGCCACCATTCATAGGTCTGACTCTACCTTCTTTATCAAAGTAGTATTTTTAAGTGTCAGTTCACTTTCTTACAGTAGATATCTGGGACCTCAGTTGAATATCTCCAAGGTAAGTCTAACACAGAGTGCAGTAGTCAGCATTTAAGCTGCCAAGGCCTATAGCTATAATAGTCTGAAAATGCTTGTTCTTGGAAACTAAGTCAACCTTGGCCTAGTTAGGACTTGGATTGGGACTACCAGGTGCTGTAGGCTTATGGACTCCTGTGGTGCAATGTCCTTAGCTCTGGACTAGGAGGCCTGGGTTTCATTTTATGAAATATTTCTAACGTGCCAAGAGAAAGCTAGAGAGCGATTTAAAATAAATACTGGGTTATGGCAGAAACAATCTTAGTAAATACCAAATTGCAAACAGAGCGTTGCTAACTCAGAGACTGAAGGTTAATTA